GCCCAACAAAGTGAGTGGCAACCCGGAACGAATGACCCAAGCACTTTGTATGAGGAATTGGAGATCCCAATCACTAGGCAATGCAAACGGGGTACTATGATCCTCACCATGAACTGAGATTTTGCAAATGATTGAAGAAACGTCCTGATTGCAAGGCAACAAACTTGACAGCATCCCTTGACAAAAGTGATTTAAAAAAGAAACGATGCATTGGTCTTGTCTTGTGATACATCATCTGATCTTGGACTGTCTGCTGCTTTGCTTTTTATACCTATACAGACTAATTATATCCAACTTGCTAAGTTTGATTGCAAATATAGTCAGTTCTGCTTGGTTGGTTCAATTCATTTCAATTCATTGGACGTTGCATTGGTTGGAGGCCCTGCTGTATCTTGCCGCAAGAATGTCGATATGATCTTTGCGTTCACTTCTCGGAAATCTTCGTCTGACCGATCTCTTCCTGACTCCCTCAGTTTCCCTTGAGAAAAAAAGCTGAACCACACTTTCCATCGGTGCATCGGTTCAAGTGGGGTGTTCCCAATCCCCCAACAAAAGGTGAACTGTGGGTGATCCACCTACTTTGGGGAGTGAGACCTAGAGGTTAGACTCAGCTTGGAGGCCATCGCTCGGATGGAGGCCATCGCTATTAGGTTCCACTAGTCTCTCTCTCTCTCTCTCGCGCCTCGGCCACCTCCGGCGCCATCGATGGCAGGTGCCTGACTAAAGCGACCGATGACGTCGACCGCGGTCGATGGAGCTGCTGAGTTTTGCCTCAGATCTTGCGATCCGGCGAAGAAGGTCGAACCTCCCCAGACCCATTTTCAGAGGGACAAAGACCCGGCTAGTGAAGCCAGGCTCCGAATCATTGAATCGTTGAATCGGTTCTCCAAACACGATGTGAATGGCATGGCCCCAGGGAAACGGATGAGTCTCTCTGCCAACAGTGGGGCGGTTTCACCGCGTGCAACCCCGAACCTTCTGGACGCCTGAAAGGGTCCAAGGTATAGCCCTGTCGCTCTGTTCTGTTGTCAACATGGAGCCTGCCAGACCGGCCAGCGCTTGCTTTCAGACCAAAAGCAGCGCGGAAAGAAGAAGTGTTCTCTGTTTCTTGTGCATGTCGAGAGTGAGCCAGTAATCACCCAACGTGAGATGATTCATCTCTTCGGAGGAGCCAATGTGCACTTGATCAAATTCGTCACATGCAATCAGTCGTGAGTGAGGACATGATTAGGATCATGGAAGAGGGATCTTGTAACCTGAAACACTTTTGGCTTCTTCATTCTCGCCTGCAATTCCACTCCAAGGAATGCGGCCATTTTCTCTGTTTAAATGTCCGCCTTTGGCGAGATGTGTTTTACCTTTTGGACGGGTGCGTTTTCCAGCATAGAGATCATGAGATCCCTTCCCCTTTGAGGTGTTTTAGGGAAGGGTGGTTCTGGATCCAAGAGTTCCTCAACAAATGTGTTGTCAAAGCACTCATCTTAGCTTCCTAAAAGCTTGTTCTCTTCAAAACCGGCTTTGAAGCTGGAGATGAACTGAGAACCACCCAGGGCGCCGGCGTACTACTTGCACAGGCAGCTTGGGTCAGTCAGTTCAACCAGCTGAGTGATGTTGCTGAGGGTTGAAGGGGCGCGCTCGGGGTGTCGAAGAAAACCCCCATGCTCCCGCCCGAGCCCTGAGCTGGGGAAGACGAGCCGTCGCAGAGCCGTCGCTCCCGAGCCCCCGGCGGGCGCGGTTGCAATAGCTGTTCAGCTATACAATCACATTCCCAAAGCTTCAGGCGTGGGTCAAAAGGACAACTCCAGTCTCCAGGATCCGGTCTTCAATTGCGAAACCGGTCTTCAAAATAGAGAACCCGTCGACATCAATTGATATATCTGGACCCCGGTCTCAGGATCCTCTTTGCTTGGTTTCGGGCCGTCGGGTCATCTTCTAACCCAAACCCTGCCTCGGCTTGGCGGCGGCCGCGGAGGCTGCCGAGGCCTCGCCACATCGAGCAAAACCGCCTTTGTCGTGTTCCATTTCAACGGAGGACAGACGATTCATGAGATGGAGAGGCTCGGGCATGTCGGACCATGTCGGACCATGTCGGAGACGCCTAGGAATTCCAAGATGCGGGACCCCCATCGATCAAACGGCTCGCGGTTCCACGGTCGATCTGGTCATGGCGAAGACGGCGGCGGGGCGGATGGCACCTGCCGACCCTGTTCCGGTGGACCCGACCGAAGCGTGACGTGGATTTGTCGTCGGGAGCCGAGCTGTGAATCGACGATTCGGTGGTTCTGATGGGAAAAGCAGGGAAGACAAGCTCAGGATAGCTCAGGTGCCATATGATGCCATGATGCCCAGTGGAAGACTCCTGGAAGACCTAGAAACCAGGGGGTTCCACATCCATGTGCTGCTGTTCCGGAGAGACCTGATTTCTTTCTCCCACTGTCACCTGGAGATGGACATGATGGTCTTCCACTTCACCGGACCCACTTGAAGGAGAGTGGAGGTATCTCGTTTTCAGAGACACCCAAGGTGGAGGTTGCTGATGCATTACACCCATGCTTTCCTTGGCAGGGATCCTCCAAGTAGTCTTTTCCAGCCTGATCAAATCTGATCAAGTTTGGTAGTGACAATGGTAGTTGCAGGAGAAGGACAAAGAGAGTGGGTCCCTGCATCTTTGGGACTACAAGGAAACGAAAGATCATCAGCCAGTGAGCCGTTTTCACAAGGGTCAACATCTATAATACCTGCTGTAGAGCTTTTTGCAATAGCTCCTAGACCCACACATGTACATAACTTAGGGTTATTCACCATGATACCATACTCAAGGAACATGTCCAGACATGTCCAGACTCCAGACCATCGAAAACGCTTTTTTGGGGGGAGATCCCGTGACCCAGAGGCGACCAAGCACGTCACCGGGTCTGACCAGAGCAAAGCGAGACAAACCAGGTCAGTGGCCACGTCTTAGCACGTCTCAGCGACCAAGCACGTATGGCTCCCTTCGACTTGAAAGGTCGGAAATGGACTCGTTTTTTCCAAGCCCACCTCCGTTTCGAAGATGGTTGGGGTGGGTGCCTGGGGGGTCTAACCACCGAAACTGAGGAGATGGGACAGGAACCCTCCAGATCCCACAACAGCACAAGAAGGGTCTGGGCCGCCTGTCTAAGAGTGGGTCAATGATCTCTGATCAAGCAAGACCTGGTCCTTGACCTCATTGAGTACTCCTTTTGTATGACCAACTCCAGTGACAACGCCCCTATGAAAAGGTGTTGTTCAATCCAAATGGGTGTGATGAATTGAGGGATATGATCCATTCACTCCAATCCCCATCGACGGTGACCGCTTGCCTGAGGCCAGGTACTAGGCTGCACCCCTCAGCAAACCCGCTGAAGGGGTGGGCTAAGACGTTGGGGTCTTAGGGAGTTCCTTCCAATATGCTCCCCCACCTAAGAGCCCCAAGTCCAAAATGCTATATCCAAGGCCCCTTCCATTTGAGGGCCTTATTCTTAGAGCTCTATCTATCCAATCTTATCCTGGTGCATAGGGACTCTGGACCTGTTCAACGATGCTCCTTGAGATTGCGGACAAACCTGCTGTGCTTCTCCAGGATCACTGTAAATAGATATAGAGAGGATGATCACGGTGATGCCCAACATCGTCGACGCGCAATAAGAGACAATAATTTCACTGTCAATAGTTATATACATAGCAACACCATCGACCATGCTATATAACCTCGGTGCCTTCAGAGATGGCCCAAATGGGCCCAAAGAAAAGTATTTGGTCCTTCACAATTCCTTTATCGATCACCTTCCAAGGAATTTGGCTACCTTAGGACCTTTTCCCTCGCAAACACCGCCCACGACACCTCTGACTGGGCCCCTTTATGGATCTGGGGCCCAAAGAATCGATTCAAACGCGGGGTCGAAGCAGACCACCCAACTGCGAGACCATGAGGAGTTGAAGCCATGTATTTATCTTCTTATGGAGCCAATGACCACAGACGTCAACCCAGGGTGGCTGGGCCTTTCTGAGTCTGAAGCAGACGAGCTGCTCGACGTTTTGGCGGCACAAACATAAGAAAAGGTGATGTCCCCAAAGAAATCACCTTCAAAAAAAAAAGGACTCCGCGATCTTTTACGCTTGACCTTCTTTAAAGTAAAGCGCGTTCCAAAACATGTTCAGACACCTCAGCACCAAAGTTCATCACCTCTCAACACCCTCCAACGCCCTTGCTCCACTGGCTCCCCAGCGCGGCCGTTTGGACGGCGCCCCCATCACGCCCTGGACGGCGCCACTCACGCGGAGTCCAGTCGACGGGACACGTCGTCTTCGTGGAGCCGGCGAAATGGCCTGGATGCAAATGTTTCATGAAAACACTTGTTTAAGAATAATTCATGTATGTTTCAGTTCCAGTTCGACCACATTTTACACAAAAAAATGATAAAGAGTGTGGTTTGTCCCTCGGATGTCCTTCAGTTTGCCTGGAAAAGAAGGGTGAACTGACCATTCCACCTGTTGTCCCCCAAAAAGGTGACCTGATCCACCTACTTCCTGGGTAAGTTCGGCACCAGCTCTGTGACTCCTAAGAGTTTCTTCAGGTGACCGAACCCACCAGGGGATCGTTCGTTCGGCCACGGAAGCACCACCTTAAGATAGGAGATCCACGTCGAGGTGCCGGGAGGGCAGAACAACTTACATTCTTTTTGGTGGATTCCAAGATGTTCATTTTCCAACCGGACCCAGACCAAGAATTTCCCATTTCCACACATTGCCAAAAGGTTCGGCAATCCCACGGCCGCCCACTGAACAACCGGAGGAAAATTGTTGATTGGTCCCAAAAAAACGAGGTGCAAAACTTCGATAGGTCCCCCCGTCCCCTCCTCCACGAACTCTCCCTTTTCGTTGGACCTGGGTGTCCCACACAGACTTCGTTGCAACTGACAGCTGAACACAGGGGGCAAACCAGACCCGGGGCTGAAACCCAAAAAAACGCAAAACCTGCAATGATAGATTTCTTGCACTAGCGAAATATGCTTTCAGATTCCCCTTCTAGTGGTTTCCCCCGATTGGAAAATCAAACATCACATCAACAGAGACCAAGGGTGCGTGGCGCGCGTTTTCCTATCAATGCACCAGGCATGGCATTTAGCAGGTCGATTGCCTGCATTTTGCAAACCAGTTCTGGCACGTGAAATGATTTTCGACGGGTCGGTTGGCCGAACCGTCTTTGAGTTCGACAGACCTCTGGGCAATACGGATCCATCATCGACTGCGGAGAAGGTGGCCGGCGAAGACATGGTCGAAAAACACAAGCCATAACCATCGTTGAATAAAACCCCCCCACCAAAACCCAAACACTCCATATATGCATATTGGAACATGTGCCTACCTGACCTTTTTCAGCCACTTTAATGATCAGCAAACATGCCAGTCCTATGGACTATGGAGTGTCTGGGTGAAGGTCGCTGATTGCAGGCCCTGATTCTGGTCAAGCCCCCCAAAACTTCAGCTCTGTATCGCATATACATATATACATATAATATATATATATATATATGTGCGCTACCCCCCAAAAAGACTCTACTTTGTTCGCGTTTACAGGTGCCCTTGCTGTTTGCAGATGTTGAGACACTGTCATGAATGCACCAAATGGAAGTAGAAGACACAAGTTAGACATTGAAAGGAATTGTGGTTAGTGGAGCTCTCAAGCAGGTTTTTTCTCCACGCGGTTGCGCCGTCGATTGGCTTTGTAAAAAGCACTGCGCAAGTTCACATATGTGCAGACCTGGCTCACGCAAGCCCTGGCAAAGCAACCTGGCAGTTCGTCTCAAGAAGTTTGCCCTGGACTTTCCTGAGGTCAGCTTGGGTGGCAAAACTGTGTTCAAACTCTTTCTTGACGCTTTCAGGTCTAGGCCATCATCGTCTATAACCTGGAGGACGTCAGTGTCACGGCCCTTGTCCGCCCCTTCTTGTCGGCATCAGAGGCAGAACGTGAAGAGAAGAGAAGCTAGAAAAGGATGAGGCTGCCTTCTCTTTGTGCTTCATAGCCAGCATGGCCTTGGCATTGGCCCTGGCAAGCCGAAGTGTTCCAAACAAAGCTCACCCCGAATGTTCCATTGCTTGGACTCGGGACGTCAAAGCATGCTGGGCATTGCGCATAGCAGTGCTCACTGGGAGGGTCGCCGGCTCCAACCAAAAAAGTTAATTGCTTCGTCCACTTTGAAAGGGTGTTGGCAGGGACGGCCCTGCAGAGGGAGAGAGAAATAGAAAGTTGCCACAACCAGGCAATCATCGCTTCTTTGCACCAAGAGCCACAACTGCACTGATACAATCTCTCTCTCTCTCTCTGGGGTTCTCTTCTTTTCTTTTGTCGATTCGTTTCTTTTTAGTGTCTTTTCTTTTCTGTTTTTCTTTCTGCCTTTCTCTCTTTCTTTTTTGCTTCCTTTCTTTTTGCTTTGCTCTGCTTTCTCTTTCTGTCTTTCTACTTTTGCTCAGTGCTTTTAGGAAAGACTTCATCCGGACCCCTTGCAACCATGACAGCCCCTTTGGGACAACCTCGCCGGAGTGTCGCTGTTCAACCGGCGCGCTCTTGCACCATACCCTTGCGGATATGGTCCGCCGCACTCAAGAACTTCTCCGATCACAACTCATCACAGCCAAAATAGGTGCTGCCCTCGGTTGTTTCTGACCTGTTCAAGTGAACATCTTGCGCAGCAACCCTGCACCGCCCGAGTCGCACGTGTGCCAAGCCACGATTGCAAATGTCGTTGCGTAAGGTCCGGCCACTGCCACCGAGGCATGAAAAACAAGAATGCCCACAGGAACCGAGTTGCCAGGGCATCTTACAATGTCCTCAAGTTTGTCTCCGAAAAGCCGCAAACGATGTGATGTAGCACATTATGCAAGTTCAGTCTGCTCGTTCAATGTGATGATGTACCCGGCCTAATGCTGCCAAGATGCCGCACAACGAAGAAACCTTGCTCCGCTGGAAGCCCCATGCAGAAAGAATAAAGCGCCGGGCTCACCCGGTTCCTTACTGGCCTGCTGATTATTGATTATCATGCTTGAGGCCACTTTGAGATCAATCCATGTGCCTTAAGTGATTCAACTGAACGCAGCTAGTGTGTGCTTTTACAGCCTTTTGGGCTAGACAGGAAGCCTGTATTGACTGATCGTGTCCAAGTTTACGAAGCTGGTGATTCAGCCGCGCGCAAAAGCCGACGGCGGCAATGGTTTCAATCGCTGAAAGGCTTTGAACAACAATGTGTTCCTAAGGGCAGGACAAAAATCGCCCAGCCTGCGCGAAAACAACTAAAGCACGAGCGTCGACCGCGGGGAACTTTTGAAAGCCGGCTTCGGGCCAAAACAAAGGCAGAGAGGGCCCAAGCTTGCAAAGAGAACCGAGTCTTCTTCAAGAGAAACTTCTGGTTGGCTCTGTGTCTTGAAATGGTACAATAGCTTCCTTTCGACACAAATTGTGAGAATCAAAGACATTAAAGTCTCGCACGTGGACAGTGGCCCGGCTTTTTTCCGCCATGCAAGACGCAAGCTGTGAAAAGAATGCCTCCAACCATACAACGCAAACTTTCTCATTACTACACAAAACATGTGAAGCTAAATCGTTGACCCTATTCAAAACCGGTAGCAACTGCCGAAGGCCTTCAAGACAGAACAGCTGTATCGGATGTGGGTGAAACATTAATTCAGTATATGATGGATCTTCATTGGAACAAGTCGCGCGCTTGATACTTGGTTTCTGAATGCGCGATTCTTTTTGATCATTTGAGGTTGCAGGTATTCGTATAATATATACAGTGTCACACTTGATGCTTGCTGTTTGCGCGTTCCTTTTGCCACCTCAAGGACATGAATCCTGACCGCAACATCTTAGGTGTTGTTAGAACACGCACGCATCAGCGTAGCCCATCCTTCGCCTTTGAGGCCAAATGAGAGCCATTTCTGCTGTGGGCTTTGCAGGAAGGGGAAAGAGATTGGATTCTGCATGAACTTTTTACTTTTTCAGTGCAGAATGCAATTGTGTCACATCTCTCCCACACCCAACGCCCTGGAACGCATGGGCCCCATGTTCTTTTTCCAAAAAAACTCTCGAGGCGCCTGGCTCAGCTGCCGCTCAGGCTGCCCGGCCACTGCTGCCCGTCTTTGCTCCATTTATTTCCGTCGCAAAAACAATTTCAATGCCGCGAGCGCGAACACATCCAATGGTTGCGCCAGGCTACTGGCTACTGGCACACGCTGGGGCAAAGAAGCTGGATCCCTTTTTTTTTCGGGCAAACATGGTGACCCTCTGTGGCAAATGGGGAGCGGCAGTGTCAAAAAGCAAAATGGGCTTCACCTTTGTCGCCAACATGCCCACCCACCGCGTCGCCCAACAGGCCGAGCAGCCACCTGGGCTGGTTGACAGGACCACGGATGAAGAGCTCGAAGTCGAAGAAGGCACCTGCAAAGCGACGAGCCAGCGACCGGAGACGACAACCAACCGGACCACCATGACCACAGCCAGAACCAGCCAAGCTAACGTTGGTCAACATATAACCTCAGGTGCCCAAACGAGCAATTTCAAAGCAATGGTGGGATGGAGACTTCATTGCTTTTCGCCTCGCGCCGCGGCATGACACCCAAACGCCGCAAGCGCCAGCGCAAGGCTGCTGCAACCGGGCAGCCGGCAGCGCCGTGCATCAGCCGCTGGCGTATCAGACACCGAATGGCATGGAGCGGCGAAACAGAAGATTGAAAAGTGCTATCCACAACGCAACATAACGTTGCCATAAGAAAACAAAGAGAACGTTGAGAAGGCTCATTCCCTCGAAAAGTGCGTTTAGAAGGGCCCTTGAAAGCGCTAGAAGTAACAAAGTCCACAGGCTGGGGAGGGTCAGATTGCGGCTTTGCCGTGATCTTGTGCTCTGCTTCTCATTTCTGTGATACAGCCCTTCCTCTCAAAAATGTTCTGCTTCCAAGGATGACCGAAGGGTTTCCGAAAGCTGCTTCTGGAGGTGGTCCCAAACATAAACCCCAGTAACAAGGGCAACCGGACGCAACCAAACAGTCTGCGTCACATGTTTCCTTTTTTGCCAATCCTGTAATGGAGCCAAATCAGGTTAAGCTTCGGTGAAATCAGGATAAGGCTTCTGATTTGGAATCCCGTAAAGGAGATAAATAAGGCAATTCCCCCGAAATTCAGAATCAAAAACAAGTAGAAGATTTCAATTTTGTTTAATTCGAGATTGTTTACAGTATTTGGCTCTCTGCCTCTGCGATTTGGT